ACCTCCTTCCCCTACTCCTGCCGACTGATCCTTCACCTGCCCTTCCTCCCGTGCGATCATTATGCTATTGCCTTCATCCTCCTCCTCCTTACCCTATCCGCCTCTGGGGAGAATGGCCGTCCATGGAAGAGCGAGGCGCATGCATCGATCCCCTCCCACCCATGTTTGGTGGCCACGTCACGACTACGACAAAGACCAGCTCTTCTCGCTGGCCGGAAGTTGCGATCTCATGGCGCACAACGGCAACATACAATATCGGTTCGGTGGACTCAAGTGGAATTTTGCCACCAAGACATACAAATCCACTTCATGGTGCAGTCGTGATGGCAACAGAGAGCGTTGAAGAAACGCTGGCGCTCGTCAGGTTAGCTGCCAAAAACGTTGGCTGTGCCTGAATCCGCCGACTTCCATTTGCCCAGAATGCGAAGGCGTGTGAAATGAACGGCTGTGCCCCTCCCAGAACAGTTGTCAGCTCAACATGGCCGTAATCCATGTCGCCATGCAGTATTCTCAAGCCCATGCTTCGCGGCAACAGCTTCGATGGGGTCCTCATTTCGTCTGGGGGTCGGCGGAATGGCGCAAACCTCTTGAATATATTCCTAGTCGGTGCGCAGCAACAGCGCTTGATAAATCGTTGATCCTGCCCCTCTTGTGTGGCAACAAGTTTTGGCTGTGTGCGTCAGACTCGCCAGAGATGTAAGTTTCAGTGCGGCAGGCTGAGGCGGCTCGACGAGGAACAGGTGTGCAAGAAGAGACAAGCACAGACCGCAAGCATCACGAAGCCCAGAAGGATGTTGAGGTCATGGTCGGTGGCGAACCAGTACATCAGCGACCCCATCGCTTGCCTCGGCTGGCCGACGCCAGTCAACGATACCCTCAGCTGTCTGAGAGGAGGATTCGAGCGCAATGATCTCAAACGCGGCCACCCCCCTCCTAGGCATGGGCAACGCCCTCTAACCGACCCGTGTCACACGTGGTGCCTCTAGCATGCGCCCACGCCTGTTGCTTCCCTCCGCCCTTCCAGGAAGTAGAATCGAGATCATCTGCGAGGGACGGTCGGGAGGGGAGAAGAGGAGCAAGCCAGTGCAATCCTCAATGCGGTTTCTGTTGCTCCCATCGTACTTAAGGGCCACATCCCAGAAATAATTCCGACAACGAATCGAAAACACGTCCAGACAAGTCTCGAAATAATTCCGAAGAACATCGAGGAATAATTCCGAAGAACCTCATACTTAGGGCCACGTCCAGAAAAGTATCGAAACAGTGTCGAACGGGTATCGCCTCCCAGGGCCCGACAAGCGAAAACCCTCAAGCTTCGGGGTTCTTCCCTGCTGCTCGACATGATGTCTGGTGGTCAAGGCTAGAGCAGGTGGGAGCATCACAAACTGCGGTTTCTTCTACAAGCGAGCTGTCCGATGTTGTGACCCTGCTGTCGTCGTTGCTCCGAGGCACAAATGATGATGTCTGCGCTGTTTCCCTCCGCCCTTCCAGGAAGTGAATTCGAGATCTGCGAGGGACGGTCGAGGAGGGGAGAAGAGGAGCAAGCCAATGCAGTCCTCAATGCGGTTTCTTTTACAGGAGAGCTGTTCCGGTGTTGTGCCCCTGCCGTCGCCGTCGCTCCGAGGCCCAGATATGATGCGCCATCTTCTTCCTCCTCCGCCCTTTCCCAGGAGGGGGAGGGGATGAGGGAGGTGGTGGTGGTGGTGTATACCTTTGGGCCCCGTAGCCTGAGGTTAGGTCGGGCACGTCCTCCTACAAGCAGATTTTAGAGGAGATGTCAAACATAACCAAAAACCTGACCAGACAAGAACGGGAAGAGCCGTTTGTGTCCACCAAGCGTGTCAGAGAACGTACGGCGGAGAACGTCAACGAAACCTAGAAACGCATCACAACTAATCAAAACACATGCTGTCGGCTCATGTTTGCGATGGCCTGCTGCGCTAGTCAGCCGTACTGGTCCGTCGAGCTAATCTGCCGCCCTGGGCACATGATGGACCTCGCGGGCCGTCTAGGGCTCTTGGGGCTTGGCCTCTCTGGTGCCCTCTTAGGAACCTTGTGAGAGTCTGCTGGGAGCCCGTTGTGAACCTTTTGGGAGCCTCTTGGACTCCCAAAAGACCCTCTTGGACTGTCTTCTTGTGAATCTTTTGGGACCCTCTTTGACTGTTTTCTTGTGAATCTTGGACTCCCAAGAGACCCTCTTGTGAATCTTTTGGGAGCCTCTTGCGATCTTTTGGGGGCCTGTTGGGGGCTTCTGTGGCCCTCTTGGACTGCCTTGGGGCTCTCCGCGGCAGTCCCGGGGCCTCCTCACGCGCTCTTGGGAGCCTCTGGGCGACCCTCTGGAGCCTTGTGGGGGTCTCTTGGGGCCTCTGGGCGCCTCTTGGGGGCCTCTTTCGGGTATGACCAGGACCCCGGGCAAGGGGACCCGGTTGGTGGTAGGGCCCCGGGTCCCCTGAATTGGCCAGAATTGCTCAACCAGGTTTGCCATAGCTTGTGTTTTCTCGGGTGACGGCAGTTCCGGTTAGTGGGAATGGGACGGGGAGGCGCCCCCGGTACAGATCACTAAACCAGGTTCCACTAAACCCAGTTCTACCAACGCTTGGGGTGCTTTGGGTGTCCTCTGGGGAGCCTTCGGGGCCCTCTTGGGCCGTTTCGGAGCCGACTCTTGGATCGTCTCGGAGGCCTCTCGGGCCGTCTTGGAAGCATCTCGGGGCCCGAGGCTCGGCGAGATCGTTCGGGTACCACGTCAGGGCCCTCTCGTGGAGCCGTCGTGAAGGTCGCTGAGGCCGTCTATGAGGCCCCTTGGGCCGGCTTGGGGCCGTGGGGTGGCCCTCCTGGGCCGTCTTGGGGCGACCTTGGGGACCTCTGGGGCCGTCCTTGGGCGGTCTCGGGGTCCTCTGAGGCTGTCTCGGAGCGTCGGAGAGCCCGAAACGGGCAAACCTGAACAAAAACACAAAAATTATCCTGGCGAAGGACCCAACCATAAGCAATTGTTCGTAACGCGTTGTGGGTGCCGCTTTCGGTGGGGCTCCCTATGGGGCCACGAAACGCTGCCTTGGGTGGGGGAACCGCATGCGAACTGCGCCACTGGGGCCTTCGGTGGAGCTCCCTATGGGGCCACGAAACGCTGCCCTGGGTGGGGGAACCGCATGCGAACTGCGCCACTGGGGCCTTCGGTGGAGCTCCCTATGGGGCCACGAAACGCTGCCCTGGGTGGGGGAACCGCATGCGAGAGCAGCCATTGGGGCCTTCGGTGGAGCTCCCTATAGGGCCACGAAACGCTGCCCTGGGTGGGGGAACCGCTTGCGAGAGCAGCCACTGGGGCCTTCGGTGGAGCTCCCTATGGGGCCACGAAACGCTGCCCTGGGTGGGGGAACGCATTGGGAAAGCAGCCACTGGGGCCTTCGGTGGAGCTCCCTATGGGGCCACGAAACGCGCTTCCCGTCATCCGCCGGCCCCCTTGTGGGGCCACCAGGCTGTAGGACAAGGGTTTGCTGTTCCCTGCGTCAGTTCCAGTTTCCAATTTCCACTGTTACAGTTCTGCTTCGTGTTGCTTACTGTTCCTTGTTGTAGACCGCGCGAGGGGGGGAGCCGAAAACCGCCCTGGTTAGCACCTCCCGGGAGGGGTCTCAGAATTTCTGTGGTGGTCGAAATTGACACCCCTCACGCAGATCGGCGGGGTCAGGGTCCAACAACACATGGGATTTGCCACATGTCTGAAATTCGGCGGCACCCCTCACGCAGATCGGCGGGGTCAGGGTCGAAAAATCAATGGGATTAGCAACATTTCTGAAATTCGGTATCACCCATCACGCAGATCGGCGGGGTCAGGGTCCAAAAATCTATGATATTCGCTACATTTCTGAACTTCGGTGGCACCGCTCACGAAGATCGGCGGGGTCAGGGTCGAAAAACCAATGGGATTTGCCGTATTTCTGAAATTCGGGAACCTCTCACGCAGATCGGCGGGATCAGGGTCGAAAAACCATGGGATTTGCCACCTGTCTAAACATTCGGCGGCACCCCTTCATAAAACACAAAGGATTTGCCACATGTCTGAAATTCGGCGGCACCCCTCACGCAGATCGGCGGGGTCAGGGTCGAAAAACCCATGGGATTAGCAACATTTCTGAAATTCGGTGGCACTCCTCATGCAGATCGGCAGGGTCAGGGTCGAAAAAACATAAGATTTGCCACATGTCTTGAAATTAGGTGGCACCCCTCACGCAGATCGGTGGGGTCAGGGTCAAAAAACACATGGGCTTTATAACAGAACAGCTTTTTGCACAGCATACGCGAGCAAGCTCGAAATACAACACCGAACTCAACAATATCATGAGAATCTAAATTTGTCTTGCCGATTACTCATCGTCTACGCGTGAAGTCCCAACGTTGCTTCACAGCGGCGCCACGGCCTCATGATTTCGCTCTTGCACTGCCCATCATCCGAGAGAGGGGGCCGGCGGCAGGGGGCGAAGCCCTTACGGATAATGAACAGTAGCCAAAAGGAGTGAACAAAGAATCACCCCCAAGTTATTCTGGACTATTTTTGAATATCCCCCCTGTAGAGGGATATGCCCAACTTACTCCAGATTTCGTAATCAAGGGAGGGGGGTCTCATTTCGGGGGGGGGGGTCTCTTCCAGGCTATCTTGAAGGGCCTGGGGGGTCTGGGGACGATGTTTTGGAGGGTTCTCCCACGGGGGAGGTCTGAAATGGCTTGTCTTGGAGGGTCCAGACCCCCTCCCTTTTATTACGAAATCTGGAGTAGCCAAAAGGAGTGAACAAAGAATCACCCCCAAGTTATTCTGGACTATTCTTGAATATCCCCCCTGTAGAGGGACATGCCCAAGTTACCGCCAAGGCGCTCGCGCCTGACCACCTGCGCCAGCGAGCGACCCGCCCGCGGCTCATCCGCAGCGCCACACCGCGCTGGCCCACGGAGAACGTCGCTGCTCTCGGCGAGCCCACTGACGCCCCTGCGATCTGTGTGCGACCCGCTCGCCATCGCTCGGACGTCCATTCTCTGTGCTTTTTTCGGTATCGTGCGTGGTTTTTTCGCCGATGGACCTCGCCGAAGGAAAAAATACAAAATGCACACGTCCGAGCGATACCAAGCCCGTCTGGGCCTCCTTGCCACATACGAAGTCGGTCCACTCGAGGAGCTTACCGCGATCAACCTGCGACCCGCCTGTCGCCGGCCCACCGCCTGTACAACATCGGGGTGCTCCGTCGCATGCGCTGTCAGTATGTTGAGCAACGACGCTTGCGGGGCCCACGATCCAGGCCATCTCCAGGGCTCTCGAGTCCGAGCTTGGATCTCCGAAGCGAACGATCCGCCGCCCGGCACCCAATTTACGACACGCCGGACAGCATCCCGTATCACAGCGGAGGGGGGCAGCAGGGCTGTGGCGGGGAAGGAGGCGAGCGAGCGCGGCACCTCGAGGCAGGAGGGAAGGGAGTCATCCAGAGGCCTCCTAGATGGGGTCGGGGGATCCCGCTGCGTAGCCCATACATCGGCGACGTGGGCGTGGAGAAAATCGGGTCCCGCACCGAGCCGCATCGCCGATGCATCGGCGATGCGGAACGATCCCCCGACCCCATGTACTCGGACCCCATCTAGAAGCTAGATCATCGGAAGTCGGCGTGGGAGCATGTGTCCGTATGGGGTACATGACTTGGAGGGAGGTGTGGGGCGGGGGAGGCGCGCGGCCGGTTCACGCCGCGATTGCGTCGACGCCTTCAGCCTTCCCTGAGAGCCGACGTTGCGAAAAGAGTGCGGCCTCGTAAAACATCACGCCTGGAGTCCTAGATGCCATCATTCTGCACCACTTTTCGTGCCCGACCGATCTGTGAGGGCCCCGGGGCCTGAAAAAAAACGAAGCCGCCTGGCTCGAACAAAGCGAGACGCCAGAATCGGCGGTGGACAAACCTCCCTTCAGTAAACCTCCCCTCAGCGACAACGGCCTGGGACCGAAAGCGACGGACCCGGACCCGCAAACATGACGGCCGCGACGCCCTCTAGCGAACCGAAAATGGCAAATTCACTAGTCGACATGTCAGGGTAGGAGGTCCCCAGACATCCGACGTCTCGATTTTTTCGAGACGCGGGCCCCCGACCTCCCGACCACTTCCCCGGGACCGGTTTTTCATCCCGAGTCGTTTTTTGACGGTCCCGAGGCCGGGCGAGGGCCCCGAGAGGCCAAGAACTATGAAAAAACCCTGTCTCGATTTGTTCGAGACGCCCGATGGCCTTGAGGCACTGCGACTCCGACAGCGTGTGGCACAGCTCGCTCGACAGCGGACTCTTCCGGGCCACCGGCGGCGCTCCACGGCGGACGCCCGCGCCGGGGCCGCCGCCGCGTCGACTTCAGTCGGGCACGCCCTCAAACAGATTCAAGCATACAGTCGAGGCGTGGACCTAAGGAACCCTAAATAAGGAACGAGGCCCCTATTTTTTTTCATGAGTTGAGCTTCGATTGCGTATCGAAAACCTAGAAGGGAAATCCAAGGCAAGCTGCGAAACACTTAGGGAACGCGGAGCCCCTCCCCAACGAAAAGGGTTCCTTCTTCAGGGCCCCGACTGTAGTCAACAAGAAGAACAAATAGTCCGCCGACCATTTTCCCCCGGAAGTCCCGGAGCCCAAAGGAGCCCCAAGACGGGCCAAGAGGGCCCCAAGAGGCTCCAAAGACAGCCCAAGAGAACCCCGAATCGCCGAACGATCTGTCTAAGACGCCTTGACGGCCTCCAGACGGCCCAAGCCCCAAGAGGCAAAATGCATGGATTTCCCATACGTGTTTGAAAGGTGTTGGCGTTCTTGCCTCTTCTGCTTCCCGACGCGCCAAGACGGCCCAAGAGGCCCCCAAGAACGCCCCGAGACTGCCCAAGAGGCCCCCAAGAGGGTCCGCTAATGGCCGAAGAGGGCCCCAAGACGGCCCAAGACGCCTCCAAGACGGCCCAAGAGGCCCCCAAGACGGCTCCAGGAGAGTGCCCAGACGGGGCACCCGAACGGACATTTCGAGCTCTCAGCCACAAGAGGCCCCCAAGAGGCCCCGAAGAAGCCCAAAGAGGCCCCAAGAGGCCCCCAATGGGCCCCCAAACTGCCCCACGACAGCCCAGGAGAGCCCCAAATTGCTCAGGAGGCCTCCATGAGCGTCTCGAGACGGCGCAAGAGGAGCCCTGGACGGCCCAAGACGGCCTCAAGAGAGCTCCAGGCTGTCCCAAGAAAGCCTCTGGCCTCCTCCTCTTTCTCCTCCTCCTCCTCCTCCTCCTCCCCCCCCTCTGCTCCCCCTCCTCCTGCTTTCCTCTGCCTCCTTCTCCTCCTCTTGCTTCTCCTCCACATCCTTCTCCACCCTCCTCCTCCCTCATCCACCTCCTCCACCCTTCCTCCACCTCCCACTCATCCTCCTCCTCCTGCCAACCCCCTCGTTTTCATCTTCGTCGTTCTCAGGGTCGGCGGCACCGGCCGTAAGGCCTTCGCAATAGTCAACGAAAAATGAAAAATAGTCGGCCGACCATTCTGCTACTATTTTTGAATACTCTTCATGTAGTAGAGGGACAGGCCCGATTTAATCGTCGGCGTGACGCGCATCTGCCGTCCAGGGGAGGTGGGAACGGAACCGGAGAGCAGAAAATCGACCGGGCGTCGGCGCGCGCAAAGGCTTCTGACACCGCGCCGATCGTTCAACCCTGAACCGATCGCGACCCCGATCATTCAAGGTTGAATTCAGTCGGGTCCAATGGCATTACCGTATCCATCGGTGCTTCCGCGTCGCAGAATTCAACTTTGAATACCTTCGCAGGCGTCGTTGGCACGCCAACGCCGCGCGAATTTAACATAACAAGCACCCCGATAAGCGAAGCCGTTTCGTAAACGCACTCAAGGAAGGGATCGAACAGGGCAACCCAGGGCAGCTGAGTCAACGCCAAGTTCTCCTCCTCCTGCTCCTCTTCCTCCTCCTCCTCCTCCTCCTCCCCCTCCTCCTCCTCCTCCTCCTCCTCCTCCTCCTCCTGCATCGGCAGGGTACAAATAGTGCCGGCGACCAGCCGCAGAACTGGCCCCTGGGGTGAGGCGGGGCATTGTGAAGGGGCCCTGGGACACACAAATAAATAGGCACGAATCCCAGGATTCCCTATACTTTCCTATATTTTCTGGGATTTCGTCTTCCCCCCCATTGCCAATATTTTCCTATATCTTCCTGGGGATCGACGATTCACTGTGTCTGCGTGCTTCTTTCCCTCCTGACATGGGGTGGGGCGGGCTCTGGATGCCCCCCGTTGCCCGGCCCCCCGGGCGCGGGGTCCCTGTGGCTCGTCCTGCTTGGTGTAGGTCGGGCGTGTCCCCCCACAGGGGGATTTTCGACGAAAAATTGAAAAAAACGAAGAGCATGCTCCAAAATAGTCAGAAGGAACTCCAGAAATAATCCCCAGACTATTTTTGGACGATTCTGGGGGCATGTGTAATTCTTCGTCGAACATCCCCCTGTAGGGGGACAGGCGCGACTTGATGCCTGGTGCCCCTCCCCCTCCCGGGGGTCCCAGCGGGAGGGCGGGCCCGCGCAGGCTCCCTCGAGCCTGCGACGCCGCGCGCGCCGCCCCCCGCCGGTGCACGCGCCGCGCCCGCCACGGGCGGCGGCCTCGGCGGCGGCACCCGCCGCCCGTGCCGAGGGCGCGGCGCGGTGAAGGCGCCGGGAGGCGAGCCTCGCACGCTGTCCAACCGACCAGGTGCCGTCAAGACTTCCGTCGAGGTGTTTCGGGCCAACCAGCCCGCCAGCGCTCAGTTCGTGAGAGAGCTCTGATACTCTGCCCCATCTTTGAGCTTCTTTCCGCTCGACGGCCTGGCGCACCCAGCCTCGGGTGACGACAAAATCAAGTTGGATCACTTACAGAGCGGGCGGCACCGCATCCCAAAGAGCTACGATGCAGGTGGCAGCTTGCCGCCTCGGTATCGCCATCGTGGCAAATCCCAGCGTTGCCTTCTTGGATTAGAAGTTGCCTTTCCAGCACCACTCCGGGTTAGGGTGGTTTGCCGTCAAAGCTTCCGTCGAGATTGTTCGAGCCAACTAGCCCACCAGCACTTAATTTGTTAGAGCTCTGATATGTTCCCCCATCTTTGAGCTTACTTCCGCTCGACATTGTGATCTAGGTTTGGTGGATTTTCGACGGAAAATAAAACATACTCCAACAATGCCCCCAAAAGGTAAAACAATAGTTAAAAAACAGTCCCCAGACTATTTTCTGACTTTAAAAAAAAAAAAAAAACATTTTTTTGAGTATTTGTTATTTTTCGTCGAAAGTCCCCCTGTGGGGGGACGGGCCCGACTGAAATCTAGGTCCCCCTTCAACCAGCCTCGAGCTTATCCCTACCCCTAAGATTGACACGCCCACAGGCGATGACAATCTTAGGGATAGGGATAGGGATAGGGATAGGTTCCAGGCTGGTCTTAAGTCGGGCGTGTCCCTCTACAGGGGGATTTTCGACGAAAAATAAATAAAATACCAAACAAATTCTCCAAAATGGTAAACAAAAACTATTTTTTGACTATCTTTGAGTATTCCCCCTGTAGAGGAACAGGCCCGACTTAAGGCTGGTCCCCCTGGCGCGACGGCGCCTCTCGCCTGCTCGGGGAGCGCGAGGGGCGCCGGGGCGCGGGGGCCAGGCTGCCGTCGCGCGGGGCCCCTGGCCCCCACGGCGGTGCGCCGCGCGGCGCTCCCGGTGCGGCCCGCACTGCCCCTGGGGGTCGTGCGGCCCTGGCCTGCGCTCTCAGCGGGGGCTGCGCGAGGGCCCGCTTGGGGCCCCCGCAGCGCGGGGCGTTTTTTGTTGCTCTTATTTTTTTGCCGTTTCTCGACGAGGATGGCCCAGGCTCGTCGCCTCTGGTCGCCCTGTGTCTCAGGAGCCATCGTTCTCATGGAGATTTGGCCGGCCTGCTCTGAATATTCCTCCTCCTCCTCCTCCTCCTCCCTCCTCCCCTCCCTCCTCCCTCCTCCCCCTCCTCCCTCCTCCCTCCTCCCTCCTCCCTCCCTCCTCCTCCCTCCTCCCTCCTCCCTCCTCCCTCCTCCTCCTCCTCCTCCTCCTCCTCCTCCTCCTCCTCCTCCTCTATCTTTCCTCCCTCGAGGAGAGGGGCGGCCACCCGCCACACTGCAGAGGCCCGCCGCGGCGCGGCCGCACGCACCGCCGCGCCCGTCTGGGCGGCCTGCACGAGGCTGACGTTCTGGGGAGGGGGGAGGGGCGCGCGGCCGCGGCGCAAGGCTTCCCACTCCTCCTCCTCCTCCTCCTCCTCCTCCTCCTCCTCCTCCTCCTCCTTTCCTCATCCTTTCCTCCTCCTTTCCTCCTCCTCCTTTCCTCCTCCTCCTCCTCCTTTCCTCCTCCTCCTCCTCCTCCTCCTCATCTATCCTCCTCTGCCGCGCCGCTGCTGCTGCACGTGAGCAACGATCAAAAACGGGTCTTGCGCGATGCGAGATGGCACAGCGACATTACGCGGCGGCTCACGCGGGCCGCCCGCGCGGCACGCCACAATGGAGACGAGGGCGCTTGCGCGCGACCTTACGCGGGCAGCTTACGCGCCAATGTCGGCGCAGACGACTCCATTTTCTTGCGTCGCTCACATGGACATCAGGAGCGTCCAAGAGGGGGGCGTCCAAGAGAGGGGGCGCAAATCATGGCCGTAGGCATGTGCGCGGCCCAGGGTGGGGCCAGGGACGTAGTGAGGTAAGAGAGATCTGGGGAGATATCATGGCCCCCGCCATCACATCCCCCTCCTTGTCATCCCCCCCCCTTTGCCACCCCCGAGGACAGCATGTTTCGACCCTGTGGCCCAAGACGACCCCCCCGCCCCCCTGGACCCCAGTGGTGTGGTGTTGAGGAGGGAGGGGGCTCGGGTGAACAAAATACATCGAACCCCTACAGTCGGGGCGTTGACCTAAGGAACCCAAAATAAGGAACGAGGCCCCTTTTTTCCATGAGTTAAACTTCGATTTCGTATCGAAAACCTAAGGGAAGCCTGAGGCAAACTGCGAAACACTTAAGGAACGCGGAGCCCCTCCCCAACGAAAAGGGTTCTTTCTTCAGGGCCCCGACTGTAGCCGGCTGTAGCCACGTGGTGAAACGACTGGCAACCCTGGGCTCGTCCCAAAGGAACACGGGGATCCACCCATGGCGCTTTGAAGTGGCCCTAGCAGCCTCTGTGCGAATATCGCCACCCTCACACGTGCCAGTTCCCATGACTATACCAAACTGACTTCGCAGAGCATTGCACATCGATCAACACCGAACGGGCGGGTTCGAAACACTTCCCTCTGAACATGTTCGACGCCCCCTGCGCCGGCTTCTTTCTATGAAGGACGCGGTAATCACAAGACGCTCTGCGAGAAAAACAGACACCAGCCAACCAAGGATGTGATTTCCAAGAGGAGGGCGGCGAAATGGCGCAGACAACTCTGGACACACCCTCAGTACAAGGCAGACGTCCGCCACCGTGCCCATGGGCACGGTGTGGGCGCGTCCTCAGGTCCTTTGCCTAATCCCCTGAGCCTCAGCCCTCACCCCTGAGGGACTCGGACCCCGAATGCCTAAATCTCGTGAAGTTTCCCGCATGCCCCATGGGCTCCCCCGCATCTTCTCGTGTGACGTTGGGGCTCAGCACGGGCCAAGACGGTCCCAAGAGGCAGTTCCAGGCGGTCCAAGAAGGCCTCGGGTCGCCAAAATATCGCCCCAAGACGCACAAGATGGCCTCGAGGCTCAAGGCAGCCCAGGAAGCCTCCAAGACGCCCCAAGAGGCCTCCAAGAGGCCTCCTGAGAGGGCCAGATTTGGCAACATCAACTGATGTTCCTTTGGTCGGCTACACGCAAGAGTGACCCTGGATAAGAGTGACCTTTGGTGCGCGGCATTATGGGGGCGCGGGGGAGCCAAACCCAAGCGCGCAAGCCGCTGATATCGCAGCACGTTCGGCGATTGGGGGACCCATCTGGGCCCGCACCAAAGGTCACTCCTGCGAAAGGTCACTCTTACGTCTAGCTGACTTTGGTCTTTGAAAGATGTTGGCGTTCTCGCCTTTTCGGCTCCCCGGCGCTCCAAAACGATCCAAAAGGCCCCCAAGAGCGCCAGATGCCGGCCCAAGAGGCTTCCGACAGGGCACCGAAACGGCCCAGCAGGGCCTCGAGGCGGCTTCGGAGGCCTCCACACGGCCCGAGCCCTCAGCCCCGAGAGGCCCCCAGGAGGCCCCAAGAGCAGGAGGGACACAGGAGGCCCGAAGGAGCCCCAAGAGGCCCCCAGGAGGCTCCATCGCGGCCACCAAGCGACCCCAATAGTGCCCCCCAGGAGGCCCCCGAGAGCGCTCCGAAGAGGCCCCAGGCAACATCCCCGAGGACTCTGACCCACAATGCAAGCACGTTGACGAGATGTGCCGACGGCCATTAGATGTTAAGTCTCTCGGTCCTGCGGGAAGATGATCTTGTTGAGCTTGATCATCTTGAGCACCTGCTTCATCCCATCAGGCACGTGGTCCTTCAAAAGCTTGGTACACATTGCACAACGGAGGCATGCGTAGCAAAGCGGGGGAGTCGTGAGTGAGGCAACATGCAGAAACCATGTCGGGGTAATACTATCGGAAATCGCAAGGCCCGTTCACCTCTTTCGGCTTCTCCTCCCAGACCCCGAGTCTGCGGAAAGATCGAAGAAATCATAGACAACTGCTGTGTTGAAACAAGCAATCGCACATTTCTTGGGACAGCCCTACCGGGGTGCCCCCAATGAAACAATAACAATGCATATGCTGGTGTGTGGTGATGCGCCCTCACTTGACAGTAGCACAGAGAGCCCTATACTTCACGGTAAGCATTTCAGGAAACGAGGCCCAACGCGTGTGCTTCTTCCATCGGGAGCTGGGATCTGTGCCTCTTCCTGCTGCCCCCCTCCGTCTGATCCTCCTCTCCCTACTGTTTCCCTGCCTCCCACTTCCTCCTCATGATCCTCGCTCGTCCTGACTTTTGTTTCTCGCTGCGGGCGCCGCGAATGTTCCGTCGCCTGCGCAAGGGCTGAGCGGTTCAAGCTACTATACGCGCGGACGAGAACCGCGTTCCTCCTGCTGCTTGGGTCGTGCCCTGGCGTAGCTTTATGTCGGGCGTGTCCCCCTACAGGGGGATTTTCGACGAAAAATTAAAAATACTCCAAAAATGCACCAAAAAGGTCAACAACTACTCAAAAAATAGTCCCCAGACTATTGTTTGACTATTCTGGGTGTTTTCTTGTTTTCGTTGAAAATCCCCCTGTAGGGGGACAGGCCCGACTGAAGCGTAGCAAGGCCCCGCGGCACCATGGTGAATCGTCCCGTGGTGTCCATGTGATGCCCAATGGGCCGTCTGGCTCTGGGCTGGGCGTGCCGTAGTGCTTGGTGGTGTTCCCACTGGTGTCCCAGGGCTGTCCTGGTGGGATCCATGATTCACTCTCGGCAAGGCGAGCTATTCTGCGCATTCGCCGTTGCTTGAACGGCGCGGAAAACAATAAAGGAGGAGAGAGAATACGGAATGCGACCATCCATGCTCGACTCGGCGATGCGACAACCGCAGTGCGAATGGAACGATGGCCAAACATAGCAGGAAAACTACAGAAGCCGACCCGTAATAGGCAAACTCATGCAATGAACTGTGATATGCGAAAACAACGACTGCGCTGCAGCACACATCTCATCCCCCTGGTCCGGCGTGGCCAACGATACACGCGGGCGGAGGACGAGAGGGAGGGAGGAGGGATAATCAAACGATGTAAACCATTACGACCTACAACGAACATGCATACACTGTCGTGGCAATTGGCGATCGTGATTTGCCAAAGATCGCCGCTGTCTGCAATTGCCACGCCAGAAGAAGTGAGAATAGTCTGGGAGGCTTCCCAGCAGATGATTCAAGAGGACCTGGGCGTTTCTTAGAAAGTCCAGTCCTAGGGACTGGTTTCGGTTCGAAACAACCGAAACCCTTCCGAAACCCTCCAGGAAGGGTTCCGGGAGGCTTTCTGAAGGGTTTCGGGAAGATGTTCAAAGGGTTTTCGCTGTTTTGGGGGATAACCAATCCCTAGCGAACCCTGGGCTTAAATGTAGTCCCCAATGCCTCAGACGATCCTTCTGGGTTGTAGTTGTGATATGGATGGCGCGCGCGGCGCGACGATCTTTTGGGCGAAAGAGAGCGCTGCTCAATCTATCTGCGTAGCTCTAAGGCCAAGGGCCCTAGTTCGAAACAAAACGGCAGCGGCACGAGCGGGCGTGAGGGATAGAGCGGGGATGCAGGAAGGGCACGGGGAGTGAGCGGGAATCACACTCCTCCTGATTGACGCTCGCGGCGCCGTCGAGCGGCAATCATTGATTGCAGCTCACTTCATTAATCAGAGCGCTCTCAAAACAAACACAGGCAAACGGCCCTGTCGGCATGCTATCCGGCTGCCCCGGGGCATTTAACGGGTGCTGCTACACGCACCGGCGAGAAAGGCATAAATTCTCAAAACGAACAGCTGCGCGAGTCCGATCGCTATGCGACAAAACTCAAATAGCGCTGTCTTATCAAGATAAAATCTCAATAGTGTGGTCGTCACCACATAAAAAGGAATCTGTGCACACTGAATGAAGCTTCGAACAATGCGGACTAGCGTAGTATGCCACAGGGTGTGGCGCCAAATGTAAAAACAAGCTAGTAAGACAATTCGGATTTACGCAATCTGCCACACTATGTGGCTCCAGGTGTAAAAGAAACGAACTGACAAAACGGTGCGGACTGTCGTAATCTGCCACAGGATGTGGCGCCAAATATAAAACGAGCTGACAGAGCAATGCGGACTTACATAATCTGCCACAGGATGTGGCGCCAAATATAAAACGATGGCGTGCTCACGAAATCTTCTTTTGAGCTTTCGCCTTGCCGGGCAGTCCTTGTAGCTGCCTCCATCTGTTCTGTAAATCCCAGCGCAGACTATTATGCATCCTCGAGAAATCTGGCTCATGGGTCACATAATTCCTGCGTAGCCATGTAGCGTGCTTCCTGCACGTCCTGCAGGTGATGTAGACACTGTGTGCGTTGTGTCCCACGCGTACGTTGTGCTCGGCGGCCACACATGCGTTCATTTCTACTGGCGGGACCGTTGGCGTCGATCCGTTCCAAGAAACCACGCTGGCTGACGAGGAACTGGTAACCGTCATCGGGGATGATGGCGACGAGCTGGCTCCCTGCGCGAAGCTGTCCGGTGATGGGGGCGGTGCGGCTGGCGCTGCCGATCCGCTTGCTGATGTTGAACTCTGGGCTGCGACGGCAATCATCGGCGGCTCCATATAGACATCTCCGTCGACGTCTTCGGGAATGGTAGTCGGTGCATTGTTACGACGTCCGAGGTATCGTCCATCCCATCCTGGATATATTCCGGGCAAGGGAGTGTCCGCGTGCCCGGAGTGATCAGCCTTGGACCCATTGCTAGTGTTGTTGATGGTCCCGATCTGGATGGGATTGGGGTCGCCTGGCCCAAATATCTCCTTTCGCACCACAAACCACAGCGCTGCGAATAATGTAAACCCAATCATGATCCCACTAAGCATCGCAATTAATGTCATGTAGTAGATCCAATGTGACATTGGCACTTGCCATTCCTGTGGGGGATGCTGTGCCTTCACGCGTCCGAGACATGTCATCAGTACTGAGGCAAGCATGGCGGCGCGCGGTTGCCTAGTGCCGAAATTATACTTCTTGGCCCCGAAGAAAGCGAGGAGCACTCCGGTCTCCATGGTCTTGGTGAGCGCGTCGGCGACCATACTCCACGTAGGTATCCACGAGAGCTTCAGCTGGCTGTTGGGGTGCACCGTCTCCTTAATCATTGATGCCACGATGCGGAACCGCTTGTCCGTGGATTGACCCACGTCAGACTTGATGTGCGTCACCAGGCCGTTGCTGTCGCTATAGATCTCCCCGGATCGTTTAGTGCTGAGGTCATCGATCTGCTTGAGCGTCTTCTTCGGGTTGTAGGCCTCCGTAAGTAGCTGGCCGAACCACGTGCTCGATTCGGCGCCCTCCAGAGTGGCGTAGCCCTCGGCGGCCAGCGTAGACTTCACGGATCGCTTGACCGTGCCCGAATGCCAGGCCACAGGCAAGCACAAATCATATCGTCCAGCCACGACGTCCCGTGGCTTGTGGGTTAGCCCGATCGCCATGCCCCACTGGCTCTTCACCCCGTCCACATTGGCGAAGGCCGCGTCGCTGAAACAGACGATGGTGCAAGTGCGCAGGTCAATGATATTGCGCTTGATGACTATGGCGAAATCGGCGGACCCGTGCACGTAAGCGACGGTCTTGTTCAGCGTCTTGGCGTCGGCCACGGTGGCGGTGTTGGTGCGGCGAGCCGCAAGGCTCACCGGGCAGGCGATGTCCACTCGCGTCTGTACTGCGAGCCAAAGCAGTTGGCCGAGTGTGTGGCGATATCCTGAGACCTCCGAGGTGGTAAGACGATCCTCTGGTGATCGTCCGCGTTGGGCGTTGAGTTCGATGAAATCCACTTGGGCGGCGGCCGTCGCCTGGGTAATGCGGAACTCCTCGTTGGTCTTGTTGATTGTCCGGCCGCAGTACTTGATGATGCCCTCTACCTTCTTGAGGTGCAGCCTTTTCTGCAAGGAGCTAATAACTCGCTTCCACTCGCTGGAGCTTCCGCGCTGGGCGATGAGGTCATCCACATGGGAGTGAATCATAGCAGCGAGCCCTTTGTCGTCGTAGAAGTAGTAAAGGCCCTTCTCGAGCTTGCTCTCGATGAGGCCGTGCTCTTGGAACACCTTTTGGGCGTAGAGGTACCACTGGCGTCCGGCATCCCGGGTACCGTAGATGGCGCCAGTCGCCATCACGATCTCGCCGGGCGATGTACGCGGCGGCGGGTTCTTGGCTGGCATGCGCAGCAATAGCAGCCTCTCGATGTTGCCCGACTGCAGGTAAGCCGTCATCGCGTCATACGACGTGAGGTCCCAGCCAAGCTGGGCGGCGGCAGCCAGAGTGAGGTAAAGCGCGTCCCTTGACCCGGTCGGCGCGTCCGTACGGATTTGGGACTTGTCCTCTTGACAGCCCTGGACGACAAGGCGGGCCTTCATGAGGTTGGCAGCCTTCTGCGTGAGCACCCAGCGGGTACCAACTGGTCGTATTCCAGGGTGTCGCTGGAAGATCTCCTTCAACTCCTTGGGCGGTAGCTTCTTGTAGGCCCCGAACTCGGTCCACTTGGACCACTCAACCTCCATGGCCATGTCCATGAGCTTCTTGTCCTTGGCGGAGAGCTTGTCGTACCTGATCTCCTTGGCAGCGGCCTTTCCGGTGAGCATCACCTCCCGGAGTCGGATGGTCGAATGCGAATCGCCGTCGTTGATCTCAAAATAGTTGTCCAAGTAGAGGTCGGTCCTGAGTGTGTCTTTCGGCCTCTTGAAGCACTTGGGTAGGTCGTCCTTGAGACTCTCCAAGAATTCCTTGCGCTTAATGGCCTTGCTGCGGTCGTCTGTCTGA